CACTCTTTGCCTTCCAAAGCTTTATTAGTATTCTTCAATACACCATTGTATATCATATTATGAGTTATTTCCTTTTTAGAACACACTTTTTGCCTACAGGTTGACCTTTGATGAAGATCTCCATAATCCATTTTCTTTGTATGAACTTATAAGTTTAACTTTAAGGTTTTTGTCTCACCCATGTTATATAGTTTGGCCATATGATGCTTTTTTAATATTTCTTATATAGTGTCAATAAAGTGATTATTATCAATATATATTGCTTTTATAATTGCTTCTACATATTAGCAAGGGCTTTTGGTGCCTCGATGAGCCTATTAATTAATGTGTAAATTATAGTTTATGATATGCTTTGAGAATCTTTTGATCTGTTTTTCAAGATGAGGCTTTTTATAGAGCAAATATAAGTGTAATTGATACTTGAGGGCCACTCATACTAGTTTTTTTATATTCATTTAGCAGCTTGAGCTGGGTCAGAGCTTTCAAAGAAAGTTTGGGTACTTAGGGTACTACTTCTTTATAAGAATTAAGTTTAGTATGAAGTCTTTGATATATTCTAAACATTTAGAAGAGAACTCTTTATCAAGGAAGGAGACATCTATGATGTTGAAAGTAAATTGATTTCTAGAAATTAGTTGGACTAATCGACCGGTATGGAAACGATCGACCGATTCAATCGTCAAAATACAGTTCTAGCTTAGATTAAGATTTTCTTATGTTAGTTTAATTCCTTTATAATCTAGGACTTAATGCCTATAAATAGAATTGTAATATAAGGCATTATTAAGTGAATACACATAGAGAAATCAAAGAGAGAAAGTTAACCTTCCTCTCGTTCTTCTTCTCATTCTTTAGATTTATTCTTGAGTTTTTCTTTATCTTGCATTATTACGTTGATCTCATACCACACCTGTTTTACCTTTAATAAATGGTATTAGAGTTCAAGTTGATTGTTTGTTATGGCCAATCCTAACTTTTCACTTCAATATCCTTGTTTAACAAAGGACAACTATGAAATATGGTGTATTTGTGTAAAAGCTTGATTAGATTCTCAAGATATGTGTGAAATGATTGAGAATAGCTTTAAAGAGTCTATGGAAGGAGTAACGTTGACTTTAATCCAGAGGGAGGTCGTGCAAAACACATAAAGAAATGATCAACAGACAATTACAATCATACACTACTATTTGGATGATGCTACTTTTGAGATAGTGGTTAACACAACCACTACCAAGCAAGCATGAAAATTTTTACAAGTATCAAACCAAGAAGCTAGCAATGTGAGAAAGGTACGTTTATAAAAGTTACATGGTGACTTTGAAAAGTTATATATGCTTGAATCGAATAATATTTTAGATTATTTTACTAGAGTTTTAGTCATATACAATTAAATGAAAAGATACAGGGAGAAGATAGAAGAGACACGTGTGGTAGAGAATATTCTACATTCATTGCAATAAAAGTTACATTATGTTGTAGTTGCGATAGAGGAATTGCAAGGCTTGAATTTTCTTACTGTAGCACGTGTGCAGTGTCACAATGATTATCCTTTTAAGTTAAGGTAGTCAAGTATGGTCTTTGATTTTTTTTTTCGGGGAGTCACCACCTAGTACTATAGCTACTAGGAACACTGACATGTTTTTTTCCAGAGATTCTAGGTAAGGAACTAATAGCGTAAAGGAAAGGTATTAACGTTCCGAATATACCTTATCTAAAGCAAGCTGCATTATTTTTTTTATTTGTTTGCTATGGTATGACGATGTCTATTTCTACCATCCTACTATGGCAGGTTTGCTATGATGAACAAACCCTGATTTTCTAGGTCAAAAACTCGGTCTGGAAAGGTGAAATATCTTCCATTAATGTTGAGGTTTTTTTCAAGGAAAACTGGAATTTTTGCTATCCCATCATTCCAAATAATATTCTAAATAAAATTCCTAATGGATTTTATCCTTGTATTAAAAGTGAATAAATTGTATTATTTATAATAATATTTTAAATATTAACCTTATATAGGTTTTTTATCCTTATATTAAAATGAGTAATAAAATTATTATTCATAACTATCATGGATCTGGTTTTTTATCGTTGTAACCTTAAAAAATTCAAACAAAAGAATGCCATGTGTCTTTGCTCATTCAGTGTAATTCCTCTTAGTCTCCCTTTGTTCTCATTCTGTGTGTCTCCCTACGTCCAATGTGGTCTCCTTCTATTTCTCTTTGTCCCTTTTCTAGTATTCTTTTGCACCTCCTCTATTTGTTCTCTCTCCGATTTTGTGTCATAGCCTTTCTGTGGTTTTTATAAAGGTTGCCAATTCTATTTCCATAGATATTTTATTTTTTCAATTAGAATAAAATGTTTCAGTTTTGAAGTGTTTTGATATCCTATTTCGAGCTTGTATTATTCTTATATATATATATATATAAAATTCAACAAACATGATTCAAATTCAAGATAAATTAATTATAAATTATGCAAATATAAATATAATGTCAAATAAATGTAATTTTAAAATTTAAAATATTTTAAAATAATTTAGATTAAATAAATCTTTAACTTAAACTAATTCATATAAAACCAGGTTAATATTATCAAAGCTAATGGGATCTAAATTTTTTTTTATTTTGCTCAAATTTCTATAAAGTATAAACATGAAAAAATACAACATTATAAACCATATATATTAGTAATAAATCTAATTTTAAAAAATTATTATTATTATTAATGAAAATAGTAATAATAATTTTTAATATTATTATTAATATCATTGTTATTAAAAATAGTAACGAAAAAGAACTTTATATGCTTTAATTTAATTAATTAAATTAAATCAGTTTCAATTTGATTTAATGGTTTTTTAAGATCAGAACGAAACATGTGAAATCAAACCGGAATATTTCAGATGAAATTTAACAAAAAATCTGGAACAAACTGAAATGTAAAATAAAATAAAAATTATTTTATTTTATTATATTTTTTAAATTAATATAAAATATTTTGGTAGTTTCATGGGAATGAAACTTGAGAGCATCTGCCTAGACAATACAACGTGGGCATGAGAAACGAAGGCCGTGCAAAATCAGATTGTTAATTAAGAAAACGAGACACAAGACAAAGAAGAGGGCTGTATATGTCGGCCCATTGGCCAAGTTGTGTAGTAATTAATTTTAGTTTCCTTGTTTTTATTTTCTGTCACAATTATAGATACAGATTAGATTGCAGGAGTGCACGGTACCTAATGGTCTGGTGTTGACTTTGACTTGTAAATGACAACCACCACTTATGCTAATAGATAAATGTGAGATTAGTTGTGATGCGTACAAATTAATTTAAATATTTATGTTAATTAAAAAAAAATAGATAATAATTTTCAAACCTGACTATTTGATCGATCTGATTTAATAATTAGATCACAAGTTAATTTAATAATTAAATTATAAATTAGATAGATTAATCTGAACTAATTTGGATGAATGAAAAAAAATCAAATATGACAATTATTTTGATATAAGTACTGTCATATAACAATAGAATTTGTAGCTAAAAAAGGGCATGATATAAAAATAGATCATGTAACATAAGAAGAGATGTAAGTACCTTGAAGCATGCCCACAAATAGCAATTGGTCTATATTGTCAACATGCTTCTGTATTGATTTTAGAACAGAATTAAATGATGAAACTCTCTTTCGAACACCTGGGATCTTTGTTGCATGCTGCATGATAAATGGCAAGGGTGTATCTTCCAACAACTGATCAAGCTCTGAAAACATAATTTTTTATCGATGATCCAGACTCAAATGCTCAAAAACATGGAATAATCAAACACCTTAAGGATCAATGCAGAAAAAGAATAAAGACCAATTCAAATTATATCCACTATGGGAAGCTTTGTTCGTCAATATTTGAACTGCTTGATACTGGAGCTCAATGAGCTGCTCCATTCTTTCAATATAATTATAGATGTTGTAGTAGTATATTTGTTTATTAAATATTACACTCCAAAAGATAACTAGGTACGTGGGCATGAAAAAACTCATGTTAAATCCATCAAATTATGACTAATAAAGAAAATGAGAAACTCTAATAACTACCCCACTTGTTGCTAGCATCAAGTCACTGTTGTGTATTCAGTAGCATAAAAAAATAGCTGATGTGTAGCAAAATCTTTACTAATCATTGCTATTTGGCTAAAATATTTAACAAATTGTCTGCAAAACATTGCTAGTCTATGGAAACTACGGACCTCGCTTATTGTTCGTGGAGTCGGCCAAGCTCAAATGACAAATCTTTTCTTCATCTATCTTAATTCTATCAGCACTTATTTCGAACCCCAAGAATAGCAAGCTACTCGTCATAAAACTGCACTTTTCCAAATTAACATACAATTTATTTTGCTGCAGAATTTGAAGTACTTCCCTCTAGTGTGCAAAATGATTAGATTGGGTTTGGCTGTAGATTAATATATCAACGAAGTATACCACCACAAATTTTCTCATGATAGGTTTTAATACCTGGTTCATGAACCACATGAAAGTAATGGGTGCATTGGTTAGTTTGAACGATATTACTAACCATTCATATAAGCCCTCCTTTGTTTTAAAAGTAGTCTTCCACTCGTCTCTTGGTTTGATCTGAATTTGATCGTACCCGCTTCATAAATCGAGTTTTAAAAAGACTTTGGACTTGGATGACATGTCTAGCATATCTTTTAATCGAGGGATAGGAACCTATATTTAACAATGACCTTGTTGATTGCTCGGCTAGCAATGCACATGTGCCAACTACCATTTTTCTTTGGCACTAATAAGGCTAGTACTGCACAAGGGCTCATGCTCTCCTGTACTAATCCCTTCTCAATTAGTTCTTCTACTTGCGCTTGTAAAACCTGACTTTCCTTGGGATTCATCCAGTAATAGGGGTGATTTGACAAATTAGCACCTAGCATGAAATCGATCTGATGTTGTATGTCCCATATAGGAGGTAACTCATGAGGTAGGTCTAACAGTATAACCTCCTGAATTCCTCTAGTAGTGGTAGCAATGTAGGTGGAATGTCAATAGAATCTCTACCAACTTCTCCTCTTACTACTACAACAAAAATCTCTCTGACTTCCTTAATCTCTTCCATGAATTTGCCCCCATACACTAGCAATATTGGTTTTCCTTGTAGCTTTGGTTTAATGCTTGCAAACTCTTTTTTTATAGGACCTAGAACGACCATCAGCCCCCCCTTCATGAAGACATAAACGTTGTCACGGCCTCTGTAAGTGGCATCTACATCATATTGCCAGGGACGTCCCAAGATTATATGGCAGGCATCCATTTCCACCACATCACATGTAACCTCATTTGCATAATTCTTCCCAATTGAGAATTTAATGTGGCAAACTTCAGTCACTTTTACTTCAGTGCCATGTTTGATCCAGTCAATTTTATACGGTGCAGGATGCTTCCTAGTTTGCAATCCCAATTTAGTAACCATTGCTTTTGATATTATATTTTTGCTACTACCACTGTCAATGATAATATCACAGACCCTCTTGTTCACAGTGCACCTAGTTCTGAATATATTATGCCACTGAGAGGGTTCTTCTCGTTTTGGTGTCAATAGTAGCCACTGAACTACAAGAGACCGTGACAATAATTCGCCCTTGTCGCCTCCTGTTACTTCTTCTTCTTCATATGTATAGGCTGCTTCGTTATCATCTTTCTCTGTGCCAAAGAGGCACTCTTCTTCTGGCTCTATTAGGTTCACGGTACTCCTTCTTAGACACTAGTTGGAATGGTGTCCTGGCTGTCCACATCTATAACATTTATCTGATCCTAGACGAGCATAAGGATTTCTGGGCGTCACCTCGGGTGGAATGGTGTTGGCAGGCTTTGTTGGTGCTCCACTGCTGCTTGTTCCTCGTATAGTGTTAGGAAGGAGGGTTGGGTTGTTGAAGTTGTCAGGATCATTGGGTCTTTCCTTTGTTGATTGTTGCTCTATTATTGTCAAATGGATTCCTGGTCCCAACCATTGCCTTTGATTTATCTAATTGGGTCTCTGCCATGATAGCCAGTGCAACGGCTTTTGTTAGGGTGTAAATCATTTGCATTGCCACACTATCCTATATAGCCCAATGCAAACCTCCAACAAACCTGGCAACTTGTTGTGCCTCTGTTTCCAGTAGGTTATTTCATGATGATAGCCTATGAAATTCTTCCTGGAAAGCTTCAACGGTTCTGGCTTCTTGTTTGCATTCTTGATACTGTTTAAACAAAATTTGCTCGTAATCTAGTGGTAGATAACAGGAACGTAATAGTCGTTTCATTTTATTCCATGTTTGAATCATCCCCTTCCCTTGTTGCAACCAGGTACTTTGTAGTTGCTCCTACCAAGTAGAAGCTCCCCCTAATAGTCTATATGCGACTAACTTCACCTTCTTATCTTCAGGAATGTCCATGTAATCAAAGTACCTCTCAACTAATACCAACTAATCAAGGACCCCTTCAATATGAAGTTGTCCATTAGAATCGGGTAGGTCCATCTTCATTCGAAACATTTGTCGGTCTAGTTCCCTTTGGTATCCTCTTCGGTTTCCCCGGAGTATAGCTTCAGCTTCTTCTTCGTCCTCACTTAGGTTGTCCTCATAGACTAGTTGCCTTCGTAGGATTCCTAGAGGACATTCACAAGTTTCAACCTTTTCTCTATGATGTTGATGACCTTTTCTCTATGATGTTGACGACCCGGGGGATTGTTGATCCCCTGATTATTTCTTGCTGTCAGCCTAGCATAGGCTGCTTGGATATCACGTAAGGTTTGTTGTGTCTCATGCTAGAAAATTCTGAATTCAGTCCCTATAACCAGATTGTCCTTGCGGTCACCACCGCCAAGGGTTTTGCTTTTGTTACGTGGGTTTGCCATCTGACAGGATTAGGACTGCTCTGATACCAACTGACGTAGCGGAAGCTTATGTGGAAATAGGACGCACTTGTTTCCAGGTAAAATTGTTTGAATCTTCAAACCAAAAATTACATTCGAATCCATGAGTTCAGAAATTAAAATTCTCCAAGAGAAAGTTCTTTATTGCATTCAAAAAAGTACCTTACAATGAAAAGAGGCAGCCTTTATATAGGCTGCAAGTCCTAATTCGACTAGGAATATAATTGTTTAGGAAAGAAATAACTAGAATAAAGAAAGCAAATACTACAGCTAGAAAAGTAAATAAATCCTGATATTACGACATTAATTAGGACTCCTAAATAAGGAGGCAATCTGCTGTAAGGATACTCCAATGGTAACTGCAGTTCGTGATTTATCTGCATTTATATTATATCCTGCAATCTGCTCTTCCTCCTGCGATCTGCTCTTCCTCTCCTCCTGTAGACTATTCTACATCAGAAGGCAATCATTTATTGTTGGTGTATGAGTACATGGAAAATAACAGCCTTGCTCGTGCTTTGTTTGGTAAATTCAAAGAACATAATTTAATTGATTTCAAGCTCTTGGCTCTTAGATGTTTCCATACATGTAAAGGTATGCATGCTTGTATGGGAAGGGACAAAATACTCACCTTATACTTAGCATCACTGTTGATCTTGTCTCAAAGGTCCTGAAGAATACCAGCTGAATTTGGATAGGGCAAGAAGGCACGAGATTTGTGTTGGTATAGAAAAAGGTTTAGCTTATCTTCATGAAGAATCAAGATTGAAGATCGTTCATAGAGACATCAAGGCCACCAATGCGTTGCTTGATAAGAATCTAGACCCGAAGATATCTGACTTTGGGCTAGCCAAACTTGATGAAGAGGAAAACACCCACATAAGCACCCGAGTTGCCGGAACCCTGTTAGCCTGCTCTCAACTGCTGTATCTTGTTAATACATTTTAGTTCTTATATTTTAAGTTGATACAATGAAAGGAAAAAAGAGAGCCCATCCTACAGCTTCAAACAGATTTGGTCAGCAACCAAAACTTATCCCACGTCCAATAATATAAAAAAAACTGAAAAAGAGCCATCCACCATAAGATATAAGTCTTTTGAATAGAACTCAGTCTAAGCTGTTTGATATATTGGTTATTTTTGCAGCGGGTATATGGCACCTCAATATGCAATGCGGGGTCATTTGACTGACAAAGCAGATGTCTACAGTTTTGGAATCGTTGCTTAGGAAATTGTCAGTGGGAAGGGTAATACTAGTCATCGAACAAAGGAGGACACTGTTTATCTTCTTGATTGGGTAGAAAGAGTTTCTCGCCGTCTTGATTTATTTATTTTTGTTACTATCATTGATTATATATATCCATCTTGTTTTCTAGGCATTGGTTTTGAAGAGAAAGGGACTTTGCTGGAGCTTGTTGATCCAAAACTAGGCCAAGACTATAACAAAGAAGAGGTGATAACAATGATTAATGTGGCTCTCCTCTGCAGTAATGTCTCTGCAGCAGTTAGGCCTGCGATGTCTTCAGTAGTAAGCATGCTCGAAGGAAAGGCTGCTGTTCAAGATATTGACATTCCAGATAAAAGCATGTCAACAGATAAGAAGATTGAACAAATGAGGAGGCATTTTCAAGTTATCAACGAACAGGAAATAAGTGAGACTCGTACTCTGTCAATGGATGGACCGTGGACTGCTGCTTCTACATCTGCTGGTGATCTTTATCCAGTCTCTTTGGATTCTGACTATTTGAAGGGTAGAGATTAGAGAAGTTTGCTCCAATCTGCTTCATCAACTGCCCATCCATCATCATCTTATTACTTTTGTTTTTAAGTATATTTCTTTGCCTTGTTATCATCATTTCTGTTCATACTTGTTAACTTGTTTGAGGGCTAATTCCGTTAGTGGCATATTATAACTTTTTCGAAACTTCCAATCAAATTTTTCCTTCCATTTTCTGTAAGTTACTCAATAATTTGATGACATGTCCTTCGACCTTAACTTGTTATGTTAATCTAGTACTTATATCAATATCTTATTTCTTAATGTAGTTTATCTTAATAAAAGTACCCTTTTTAATAATTCTATATTTAATGGATTAAAATATTTTAAATTATAATAAATATTTTTAAAAATAAATTGATATCAACAAATCAAAATATTTGTAATTGATTGAGAAAAGGTACATAGGTGATTTCCTAGTAATACATTTATTCCATTTTTTTCTTCTAATTTTTCATGTTATTTTCTTATCTTTAGAACTATTTCTTACCTATCATGTATGTTGCCTAGGATCCTATCTTTGTTTCTCGAGTTGGTTGTTGGTTTCTGACATATTTCTAATGCGCTGTTCTTATTCTCGATGATGTAGTTCGTTTTTTTAACACCAATTTTTTTAGATTTTTGCCCTATCCTGCTACATGTTAAGGATTTCAAGCATTCTTCCCCTATGTTTTCCCTTATTTTCTCATGTGCTGCACTCTTTCTTCCCTAGAATTTTAATCCTTCTTGCCAAACCAACTAGCTTTGATGTAATGGCTTCCGATGTTGTAATATTTTCCCTTTCTTTTCTTGTCCTGTACATAGTTTGTGACCCCTTGCAACTGCCCTACGAACTTAATATGATGTTTTTATCCTACTTTTTCCTTATTTTCCCTTTTCTTTGTTTCCTTTTTCATTGAATATTTTCCATTTCTGTGCTTAATTCAGTTATGCTTGGGTCCCATTTCGTTTCAAGTCGCACCACGCTAGTCCTGCCTTGCCTTTACTACTTGTGTGTGTGTGTGTGGCAACACGAGTCTTGCCACACAATGTGCAAACGGGAGTCTAAAACTTACAACTAGCTAAGAAAAATATGTGTGGCAACGTGAGTCTTGCCAAGATGGCTCCGTACTTTGTAGTGTTGTTTTCTCTTTGAACCTGTCTTCTCCCTCTAAGTTAATTTTTTCCCCCTTTATTTGCCTTTACCTTTCCACCTCAACTAGTCCCAAAAAAAAAAAAAAACCAATTAAATTACTACTGCTACTACTAGAGGACGAAGGAAGATAAGTATGCTTGGTCTAATTTCTACTAATGTCATCAACATTTGTCCAATTCGAAAGACGAAGCTCAATATGTAATGGAAGACAAGTTTTTGTTCAAATGCTCTTTAGGATCATGAAAAAGTGCTTCTATACAAAAAGCAATCTGCAGATTTGGAAAAATGGTGACATACAATGCTGACAATGCCAATTCGAAAGACCAAGCTCTCCAATGTTTTTTATTTCTTAACAAAAGAATCAACATATACCAGAACAAATCATTTAAATGTATGACTTGATTACTCAGAAATCCTATTTGCAAACTCCGAATACTACCAGACCAAAAGAAAGGGAGGGACTATTTCATCAATTTCCTTTGATCAATCTAAGTTGACGTCGTAAAGATCCTTAAGAAGCTTGGTCGATGAGGAATCTATGATCTCATCCTTACTTTGGATAGAAAATTCAGAATCCATCCACGGTCCATCCATTGATATGCTTTTCTGTATCTGACTGCTTTGAGATCCATTTGAGACGTGTGTTTGGCTATCATGTGAGAGAAGCTCAAAGGCTTTGAACCTTGCATCCTGGTCCATGGTACTGCGCTTGACTATTGGAGCTTGGACTGGAATTTGACCCTCAAGCATCTTCACTGCAGAAGACATTGATGGCCTCAAAGTGGGAGATGGGTTGGTGCACAAGAGAGCCAAGTTAAGTATCCTCAATGCCTCTATTTTTGAGTAGCTTGAACCAAGGCTTGGATCCACAAGCTCTAGAAGGTTTCCTTGCTCTTGCAGGACATAGGCCTAAAATTATCAATGACATGCATTTTCCATCAGCCAACAATCATGCTCATTGGTGGTCAGTGTAAATGTAACATGTGTAGACAGAATTCTGAAAGGAAAGGATATAAGTTACCCAATCAAGAAGATAAACAAACTCCTCCTTCGGCCTGTAATTCGTGTTGCTCTTCCCACTGACAATTTCTAAAACAACAACCCCAAAGCTGTAAACATCTGCTTTATCTGTCAAGTAACCCCTCATAGCATATTCTGGAGCCATATAACCTCTGAAGAGAAATTAGAAAGAACCAGAAAAGTATTGGCCATGAGCTTGTAGAATAAACATATATGTTCTTTTCCTTGTATAATCAATCATATACAAGGCGATAATCATTTGTGCTGCTGTTATTAGATGCCATAAAGAAATATGTCTGCGTTTTACAATATTTCCATTTGATATCCATATTGTTCAAAGTATAATTACCAAAATAATAATAATAATAATTTATCCCTTTACCACACAACCAAGGAAATTAAATTGAAAGAACAAAGGGAAGAAAGAACTCACATTGTCCCAGCAATCCGCGTGCTAATATGAGTGTTTTCTTCTTCGTCAAGTTTAGCTAAACCGAAGTCAGATATCTTGGCATTTAGATCCTTATCAAGCAGCACATTAGTTGCCTTTATGTCTCTGTGTACAATTTTCAGCCTGGACTCTTCATGAAGATAAGCCAATCCCTTTGCAATGCCCAACAATATTTTCTTTCTTGTTTGCCAGTCCAGTTTAATCTGGTGTTCATCACGACCTGATAGAGATGAGACAGAGGAACAGGAAAGCAATTTAATCTCATTCTCGTTCCATATACTACATAAACTGATACATTAAGGTGTTGGTCAAGCATTTACCAAAAAGGGCCCGAGCAAGGCTATTGTTTTCCAAGTATTCGTATACTAACAACAACTGATTTCCTTCAATGCAACAACCATACAGCTTCACGAGATGGGGATGCTGCAAGGCAGATATCATGCCTATCTCATTCACAAATTCACGATTTCCTTGTTTCGATTTGGCCGATAACTGCTTTACAGCAATTACAGAACCATCTGACAACATACCCTGAAATAAAATAGATTGAGATTTCAGAATGTTTTAAAAGATATTCCTTCCCTTTTATCACAAGCTTTTGCATGTGTGATAGATTTTATACAAGAAGGCCCCATACAGTAGAACATTTTGTCAGCACATAACCAAATTAAATAGTAAACTGGAACATTCATAAATACCTTGTAAACTGGACCAAATCCTCCTTCTCCTATCTTATTTGCAGGGTCAAAATTATTGGTCGCATGTTTAATTTGCCTTAGGCTGAAATAACCAGTTTGGAGATCTAGAGCACGGAGTTCTGTGGTGAGCAGAATCTTAGAATCAGCATGACAAGGATAATCAAAAGTTCACAGCATGCACACAATCAAATAAGATACATGCTTCCTGTGCCATTAATCTTACCTTTATCTTCAAGGTCCTTCCCTCCCAAGTAACCTTTCTTCCGGAGGACCAGCAAAACCAATGCCGCAAGCACACATGGAGCAGCTACAATGCCAATAATAGCTCCAACTGATAATCCGCCACCGTTATCTACCTTAAAGTCTACAAGGAGAGAAATAAATTAAATAACAAGACCGTTGATGAAAACAAAAAATCCTCTTGATTTCGTCAAGACTTACTTGGAGTCACTGTAATGGCAGATATGAGAGGTCCATAGACACCCCTGTCAGGAACAGCAGTAGTACCTTTGCCTGACCAGTATAAGTGTATCTCCAGTGTGCTACCATTAACAATTATACCATCAAATACCTTAGTGATGCCAATACCAACACCTCCAGCTTCCTCCATAATATTGAAATTTGCCTCAACTACCTTCCCCTGCAGGAAGAAGTTCCGAGCATGACTTTTGCAGGTTTTAAAGAGTGTTACCACCCTTTTCTATGGAAACTTGGAAGGGATCCATAACACATGGTAGGTGTCATGAGGTTATTTAGAAATACAATCATAGATAAAAAGAAAAATCCTAAATAAATGCGCTAATTTGAAAATCATTTTACTCACTTGAATTGATATATCAAATATCCGCCTCCCAAGGCTGCTAAAAGTCTGATTATTGGAAAACATAATTTCAGCAAAGTGGAGCTGCACTTTGTAACTGCCCGCCAGCATGCACAGGCCATAGTACTTGAGTGATTGAGGAGCAAGGCGAGCAGTTCGGTAAAAACCTTCGCCGGTCACATTCAGACCATAAGAATTTGTTGCTTTGTAAGCGCCGTCATCATTGCCAATATGAGTCCCTGTACTGCTATAACCCCATCTTTCTGATATAGATGCAAATTCAGCTGCCCCACCTGTAGTCGTGTCGTCTTCATATTCATTATCACCAACAGTCTCACTGCTCCCTCCACAGTTTATGAACAAGGAATGGTCTGTAGAACGAAGGATCAATATCATAAGCTGCCTTCCCTAGGACAACAAGTCCTGTATTTATGTAATTACACCTTCATCGAACACCAGAGTACTGTTTTTACACACTTACATTGAGATTTTCTTGTGCAAACAAGGTCCTTGTTCAAGCACCAAGAAATCCTGTAGAGAAGAATGAGGGTTGTCGATAAGTCAAATTTCTAGATTTCTTGAAAGGCATCTTAGTGAAGCAGGAACTTACTTGTTGCTCCCAGTTGACACATGACTAGAAACTAAGTTCCTATATAATTTCAAAATAGAAGTTAGCAACCAACTTGAGACAAAGGAGAAGAAACAAGTAACGGGAAAAAAATAATGCCTACACTGGTAGCTGTTGACAACTTTGCTCAGCTGATCCAGTAAAATTGTTGTAAGATAAATCCCTGAAATAAAATTTCATGGCAGGGGTAATATAGTTGTTGATCGAGGAGAACAAATATTGGTGTATTTCATGTATAAAGAAATGTGTATAGCTTCACAATAGACTCACAGTTCTTTCCTGCTTTCCAATATCCAAGCAGGCACTTCTCCGGTTAGTAAGTTGTTATTCAGAAACCTACACATTAATAAACAGGTAATGAACCAGCAAGCTGTCAGTATGAGAAATATTTTAGAAACGATGATCCTGTGCCTTCAGAAAGCATGCGTTTATCGACTTACATGAACTTTATATTTGTCAAACTCTCTAACGGGCCAGGAATCTGGCCTGTCAACTTGTTAAAGCTCAGATCTCTGCAATGAAATATATACAAATTAATGAAAGCACGTGAAAAAAGCACTAGATAAAATTAGCTCTGGGCAATATAAACACACTGCAACGGAATGTCGGGCCAGTCCATGTTGTCAGACTAGTAATATTCAAGGTCCTATTACATCCTCTGCAGCATGGCTTTTATGAAAAACATGAGCCCCCACCATCATGATTTTGAATCATGCAGACTATATGCAGGTCTAGCTCATGCTCACAGAGAACATATGTTAAGATGTCTTCCACATATTTTATTACATTGTTAAAATGTAGAACATCACCAATAGCATCTCATATGACATATCAAGATTGGTTTGAAAACATCCCGACCTCACTCAATGAGAATCTAAAATAAGGAAAAATGAAATGCAAAACTGTCGGTTTTAAAAGAGGAAAAGGCTGGAACTTCATTGTTAGCTACATAAAAGTTGGGAAAGATCCTTGTTCAACCAGAATAAATAAGGAATCAACTTATTGCTATACCTTTACTGATTCACTTTGCTTTATCTTACTTTAAATGAAACCAAACGATAGAGTAAAGTGATGTCAATCACTTTACACATCTTGTCATTTTGAATCAGAGTAACATCATATGACGCCCATGAAATTAAGCGTTTCCATGAAGGTAGCTGTTACAGAAACTTACAGAGTATCTAGGTCTGCCATATTTCCAAGGTATTCTGGGATTGAACCAGTCATTGAGCAATTTCTCAGAATCCTGAGTAAAAAATAACTTGTAATCAATTACTGATGTGATATTGCTGTAACGATATATTTGATCAGTCTCATTCAACTCACAGTTTTTCCATTTTTGTCATATATTTCAGATCAGGGAAAGTTGAACTAGATCCTTTCAAATCCGATATTCTCCTGAAAAACCAAGACAATAGAAAAAATCAGTTTTCTCAATTATAGACTTACCGAAAAGCAACGAGGCAAAATTCTTTGAACTGAATGTGAATCTACAAGATAGGGAATTTAAGCTCACAAAATTGTTAATTCTTTTAACAGTGAAATGGTAGAGGGAATAGGACCCTCCATGGATGTTCCTTGCAAATCCCTGCAAAAGAAATATACCATTGTTAGGAATGCAAGAGGGAAAGGAAAATGGAATTCCATTCAGCTTGTGCTCGAGGACACATTAGCAGATAAATGGAACAAGGTAAATACTCACAATGTTGTAATGTTGGTCCAGTTCCCAATAAAGTCAGGTATCTTCCCTGACAGTTCACTTCCATCTATCCTACTGCAGGAGCATATGAAACAGATGAATATTTAAGCTCAGCACAGTAATTACTATATAAAAAAAAATTGTGACCCGCATCATCACTTACAAATCATTTAAATTCTTTAAATTGCCAAATGTGTCTGGTATTGTTCCTGAAAAATTGTTTGCGGAAAGAAGACTGCAGGGGTAAATAATACAAAGTTACAAATAATTTTTTTCTGAGTGAACATCAAATACTGGTACCAAACATAAAAAGACTTAGATTGAATATCATGAAGTAGATGCATAAAGAAACTCAGATAGAAGATGAAGGCATCTGTCTTACAGTCTCTCCAAGCTTTTCAAATTTCCCAGGTCTGGATGAAGAGACCCTCCTAGTAGATTATCTTCCAGGACCCTGCAAGATGCAATACCTATTTTATTGCAACTCAGAATTTCATTTACTGGACCAGTTGAGAACTTTGTTTTGAGACTTACAGGGACTTCAGAGTCGTAAAGCTACCAATTTCCCTAGGAATTGAACCGGAGAGACGGTTTGCCAGAAGAGACCTAAGGTATAGAAGAAAAAATAGTGAACAGGTTATTTATTCATGAATGGCCATATCACAGTTGAAAACTCCATAAGAAATACAAGTGAACAAACAAACTTACAAACTCTGAAGGTTTGGGAGCTCAGCTAGACTTCCTGGGATTGATCCATTTAAGTAGTTGCGAGAGAGATCACTGTACAATGCAGGATGCTTCATTTCAGTTATTCTAAAATTCAAATTCTCGCAGAGTGAAAAGAAAGGTAATATTCTACATTGCACATTGCAGCTGTAACAAAATCTTGCCAAGACGATAACAATAAAGGGAAGAAAAAAAAACTTCTTAAATGCGAGTGAACAGGGCTGTCTGTGTTTGAGAAAAGAGGCATTGAAACTTGGAAATTATTTCACCCGTAAATGTATATCAAACTGAGCGAATGTGGATGGGCTATTTGGCAACTAAACCATTCTAGAGAACCAAAAAGAACAAGAAAAAACAGGACAGGAGTCTATCAACTAAGACACAGTAACACTGGAGAATTTGAAACTTGCATAATGATAGCCCATTGAAGGAGAAAGCTAATCACTGAGATCATAAGCAAACTAATTAAAATCATCCATAAATCCAGATAGAAACTAATCTCCGCTGTCCAACAAAAAACTTGACTAACAAGAAATATATATATGCAAATGCCACTCACATTTCGAGCAGTTGGGTCAGATTTCGAAATTCCACTGGTAGAACTCCAGTCAGATTAAAACCCTTCAGCTTGCTGTCAGAAGAAGAGAAAAAAAAAAAAGATGATTACAAAGAGGAAGAGGTAAGAGGTGATAAGTGTCCGTACAACACCAAGACTCTGCGGTCGTTACCATAAGCTGAGGTTTAGGAATTGATACAGTGTTCATATAAAATTGGACCAGTACCAAATCCAAGAGAGAGTGTTTGCTACAAATATATTCTTCTAATTAATCAAAGGATTGCTTGAGACGAATCTAATCTCTATCTGAGTGGTTATTATATCTGAAGAAAAAGGAGGGATATAAGGAAACAAGTGCATACAAGCTGATGACATGACAGACGGTGTTATTTTCAAATGTACAGTCACATGTAACATTGCTTTGAATTCTGTCATTTTTGGGGGGGTCGCTGATGTACAGCTTCCACTGTGCGCTACTGCAGGAAGTTCGATCGATTGTCGTCCAATTGTTGTTTTTCAGTTTGTCGGATATTGTTTGAAGGATTTGCACTGTTGCATCAGATAGAAACAATACTTGTTAAGCAACACCAAGAAAAAAGGCACACAATAATGTGAGAGTTTGCTAGTAAAACAAATCAAAATTTCACGTCGATCAGCATAACTGTTCATGGGTGAGATAGACCTGCACAGATTTACTTTACTAGACCCTTCCTTTTTGGGATATATCACAAGGACATGGTCGAAACTCTCGATTTTCACCCAATATTTCGCACATATTTTAGAAGCCATTTTTTTTCATGTGCCTCCCAGAGCTTTCCTCTGCATATCTTGCTCAAGAATAGTGATAGGTAACTCCTTGATCACATTACACAAGAGAAAATAGTACAACCCAGTTGTTATAGTAAAAATACTTTGCACATTTGGAAAACCTAGCATAAATAAACTTCGCTAACAATACAAATCTGCCAGGGAGGCAGGAACCTTCCACCATAAATGAAAGCCGTGTTGAACAGAGGCAACTTTCAAGCAACAGTTATTACTTGAAACTATGAACATACCAAAAATATGTCACATTGAAGAAACGAAAAA